TGAGAGCTTTGAAATTCTCTCGATTTTCCCTCCTGGGTGAAGCTTCAGCATAACATCTGAGTTTGGACACAGAAAGAAGAAAAGGCAACAGGGACTTTCTAAGAAATCCACCCAATAACTTATTGAGTCTCATTCGCCATGCTGATCTGCAAGAAAGATAAGAAGTGAGTTTGATATTAGCTGAGAATAATGATTTACTGAATAATGCAGTTCCGTTAGTAATGTAAAGGAAAGACCTGATATTGTGTAGGCAATTAGCAACATCTACCATGAACAGAATGGCAAGTCGGATGTGTAGACTCTGCCTACATCCACTGCATGTTCCAACCCAACTTATTTGGGTGCTGCTTTAGCTTTTAATAAAATAATACCCTGCAATCCAGTTCACTGCTGCTCTTCTCAGGTAACTGACAGAGCTGGACTGGGGAACTCCTAGGAACAGAGTGACTGACAGAGCTGGACTGGGGAACTCCTAGGACTCTTTTTTCCACATCCTCACCAACACTTATTTTCTTTTGTGTTTTTATAACAGCCACTCTATCTCGTGTGAGGTGGTACCACTGGGCAGCTTCCTCCTATCCCCACCTTGAGGTATATACTACACATCTGGGCTCTTTAGTTCCTCTAATACCATCTTGTTTCCCAGTGTGTCTTCAGTGCTCATCACAACATCTGAAATATATTATGTTTTTAATAAATAACATCTAATATGTCCATTTGATATATTTAAGCAAATCATTGGAAACACTTAGGCATCCTAAAGGACAAGGTTTGATATTACTAGTAACTATGCTTTTGTGTCAAGTATAGCAATTTTTAAAAATCAGTCCAAAGAATTAATTTCCAATATCCAAAGAATAAATGGCAAAAGTCCAAACATATATTTTATGCAATTTTTAACATCCATTTATTTGCAAAATTCAAATGACTACAACTTTTTATCACATGTGATGAGGTATTTATTCCTGCCACTGCTCTTAATTGAGCTGTTCTTAGCTTCCAAAAACAGCCAGATGGTAAATTCCATCCACACAGATTTTTTATTTAATCAAAAACACCGTGTGTACATAAATTAAATGGAGAGGGATACCTGTGAGGGTTTTTGCTACTTTTCTCTAAAAGAACTATTGAATATTGAAAGATTATGGTGAGATTTGCTATTCACAATAAATCAATAAATCTAAGTGATTTATTGTGAATAGCAAATCTCACCATAATCTTTATGTATAGTATCTCACCATAATCTAATAGTATCTCACCATAATCTCACCATAAGAATCACTTATTGATTCTTTACATAAAAGATTATAATCTTTAATAAGCGATTTTAACTCTGTGTTTACATCTCTCTGCTGGTGCAACAGAGCCAGTGTTTTACATCTGGGTTCTTTAGGAAAGCAAAAACCTTTCCTAAATTTATTTGGTACAATACTGCCACCTGGTGTCTTAAGAGAAAGGGAAAACATGCTTCAGTTGATAGTACAGAACTCTGTCTCATTATTTGGAATTCTAAAAGTATGAATGGTCAAAATGAGGGGGCTTACAAATATGATAAGTTAAATACAATTTCAACATTATATGATCATGTACAATGAATGGCTTGTGAATATCTCTATACTTAATAAAACATTTTAGTAATTACTGATTTAAGTCATATTACTTATATTTTTAAAATATATTTTTATTTATTTGGTTTTTTAGAGAGAAAAAGGGAGAGGGATAGAGAAACAGCCAATAGCTGCTTCCTGACGCCCCCTACTGGGGATTGAGCCCACAACCCAGGCATGTGCCCTGACCAGAATCAAACCTGAAACCCTTTAGTTCACAGGTCGATGCTCTATCCACTGAACCAAATCAGCTAGGGCTTAAATTTAATTTTTTTAAAAAGTAAACATAAAAAATAAAACATCTACAGAAACAAATGAGGCAAGTCAGATAACTCTTAGGTTAAAGGAATATGCAGGAAAATGGATGGGAATAATAACTAACATTCATTATTTTTTATCCATAAACATAATGTATTTACTTATGCTTCTTCAATATCTATTAATAAACTATAATTTTTTCAATAATTTCTTGTATATTTTCTTATATTTACTTTTTAATGTCATATATTGTTTTATTATAACTAGAGGCCCAGTGCATGAATTCATGCACCAGTGCAGTCCCTCAGCTTGCCCTGTGGGATTGGGCCAAAACTGGCTCTCTGACATCCCCTGAGGGTTCCATTGCAAGAGGGCACATGCCAGGCCAAGAGACACCCACTATTGCATGATTAGGGCTAGGAAGAGACACAGGAGGTGTCTGGGGAGGGACCACAGGCACAGCAGTAATAAAATGAAGCAGCTGGGGAGGGACCACAGGAGGGCTCCAGGACGTGTCTAATCCATCTTGCTCAGTCCCAATTGGCTGGACCCCAGCAGCAAGCTGACCCACAGGTTGGAGCGTCTGTCCCCTGGTGGTCAGTGCATGTCATAGCAAGCAGTTCAACTGCCTTAGCATATCATTAGCATATTACGCTTTGATTGGTTGAACAGATAACTGGACGATCGGATGCTTAGCATATTAGGCTTTTTCATACAGTAGGTCCTCAGGTTATGTCAGAGATCTGTTCCTATGGCATGATGTAATGTGATTTTCACTGTAAGTTGGAACCTACCTACATAAGCACCTATGTCACTCACATGGACCACCTACACAGCAGTAATGAAATGAAACAGTAAAAAAAATTTAAAAGAAAGATAACAATTCCTGACCTTTACTTGTGATAAATAAATAAAACACATACATATGTAAATACATTGAAATGATGAAACTTTTTTTTTATAAATAAATGGGAGATGGTGGCGTAACCACAAAATGATGTGTGTTGAATACGAGGTAACCTGAGGACTATCTATATAGGAATAGGATTATAAATGTTGGGTTTTTCTTAATAAAATTGCATGTATTTAGCATGTACAGCATAATGCTTTGATATACATAGCAAAATTACTATATATTACTATAAGCTAATTAACATATCCATGTCCTCAGTGAGGGTGTGTGTGTGTGTGTGTGTGTGTGTGTTAAAAGCTCCCGAGATCTATTCTCTTAGCAAATTTCCAGTAATTGATACAGTATTGACTATAGCCATTATATAGTTCTGTAGAACTTGTTCATCCTACATAATTACAACTTCTTACTCTTTGACCAACATCTCCCCATTTCCCTCACTTCCCCAGAAATAAGAAAGCGCCACCTCTTAGAGGAAATGTTAACAGACAACAGACCATTTAGCTTCTCCCTTCAACTTCATTCATTCCACAAAATAAATGAGTAAGTGAATGAAGCATGAAGGACAAAAAAATAAAAGAACTGGAAAAGTTAAGATACCTGTAAAAAAAAAAAAGGTGAAAAAGAAGCAGTGGGTCAGGAGGGGAATGTTATAAAGCAACATTCAGTCTCTAAATGATCAGTTATCCAGTCTCTTTTGAGTAGTCATATATTTTCCCAGACCTTGCAGAAGTGAATATGAAATCAGTCCATATTCCTTTAGAGATTGAGGAGAATTAGAGATGCTGGAGAGACAGAACTCACCAAATATTTGGAAATGTTTCACATGGAAGAAAGCTAGACTTCAGAAATTGCAGCCAAGTATGTTAGAATATAATCCTTAGGAATGTCAAAATGTCCTAGGTGTAATCTTTGAGAGTGTTGTAGGCCACCAATTCTTCATTTGTGAAAATTTTATTCATGTAAAAATATTAACTGAGTACCTTCTCTGTGTTTTCATAAAGTTTACATGTTTCAAGGGCATGGGTTTAGGCAATAAATAATTAAATATATGCCAAAATATTCAGCAGGTGACGTATGACAGGAAGCACCCAAGATCTGGGTGAGGAATATCATTCATAGGATGTTCAAGGAAAGTCATTCTTATAAGGTAAGTTTTGAGAAGACATTTTGAGAAGAAAATGAGACACTGGAGTATGTACAGGAAAAACATTCCATGAAAATGAATGGTCCTGAGGTGGGAGGGTATTTGATGAGTTGGCAGAGTAGGAAAGAGGCCCATTTGAAGCAATGACCTCAGATGACATCTGAGAAGGTACAGAGGCCCTGAATATGTACGTGATACCTATTGGGTCATTGTAGGGATTTAGCTTTAATGATGAGAAAGATGGGAGGCTCTGAAAGGTTTGAACATAGCAATGGCATGGTCTTAGTTATATTTTCATAGGATCTCTATTGTTTCTTTGGGTTCAGGGAGTGGCCTGGGAAGCAGAGTGAGCATTAAAAAGCTTTTGCAAAAATGAAAGCCAGATTTCCTCCCTGCTCTCTCCTTTCATGGCAAGGTCCTGGTCTTGTTCATGGCAATACTTCTCTTGCCAAGCACAGTGCCTGGCATAATAATGATGGCTGAATGAAATATCTGACAATGGTAGTCATACCAGTCATACACCAGTGCCTGGAAGGAACTGTGCACTTGTCCATATTAAAAACAGTCTATAATTAAAGTCATGCCTCAGAGGTGACAGAAGGCATGCAAATGGAAAGAGGCACCATATCCAATCATATTCATCAAGATATATGCTTTGCCTGCTGCCAGTTCCCTTGAAATTCATAAGCAAATCCTACTCTCTTCTCACCCATGCAGGTCCAGGTGGGCATGCAAAACTGGGCTTGGGTAACTGAGAATGTCTTGTTTGCATCTGTGATGCTATGCTGTGGCCCCCTGTGAAGACTGTTGCACAGAAACACGGGGATTTCTTAAAAGCTTCTGCATCACCCAAAAGATACAAGCTTCATTCTTCTACTCATATGATGAGCTTTTGTGTGTATCCATGAGATATTCTATAGCAAGAATTTCCCTCTCAGTTTCCTGCCAGAACTTTCTATACATTCACTTTGGCATAGATCTAGAGCAAGAGGTAAAGGCCTAGCTCAGTATATAAACTTACTTTCCTCTACTAGGTGGTATGTGAGAGTCTTAGGTTAGCCAACTAAGAAGAGACATCATGTTGACTCTGACTCCCAACATAACCGTGTCTTATGAAGTTAAGAATGTATTTATGGTCCTTTCAGTCCTGGAGTTTGCAGTGGGGATTCTGATCAATGTCTTCATTTTCTTGGTGTATTTTCGGGATGTGGTAAGGAGGCAGCCCCTGAGCACCTGTGATCTTGTCCTGCTGAGTCTCAGCCTCACCCGGCTTTTCCTGCACGGGCTGCTGTTTCTGGATGCCATCCAGCTAACTCACTCCCAGCAGATAAGCGACCTGCTGAGTTTCAGCTACCAAACCATCATCATGCTTTGGATGATCACCAACCAAGTCAGCCTCTGGCTCAGCACCTGCCTCAGCCTCCTCTACTGTTCTAAGATCGTCCGTTTCTCTCACTCCTTCCTGCTCTGCTTGGCCAGCTGGATCTCCAGGAAGATTTCTAGGATGCTCCTGTGTACTGTCCTTTTCACCAGTGTATGCACTATCATCTGTTCTTGGAACTTTTTTGGTAGATCTCGCTTCACAGTCACAACTGTGTTACTCATGAGTAACAATACAGAATTCGATTTGCAAGCTGCAAACCTCAAGTTCTTTCATTCCTTCCTCTTCTGCAGCCTGGGGTCCATCCCACCTTTCTTGTGTTTTCTGGTCTCTTCTGGGGTGCTGATTGTCTCCCTGTGCCGCCACATGAGGACAATGAGGGCCAAGACCATGGACTCTTGTGACCCCAGCCTGGAGGCCCACATCAAAGCAGTCAAATCCCTCATCTCCTTTCTCTGCCTCTTTATGTTATCATTATGCGCTGCCCTCCTCTCAGTGCCTTTGCGGTGGCACAGCAAGATTGGGGCCATGGTCTGTGTGGGGATAATGGCAGCCTCTCCCTCAGGGCATGCAGCCATCCTGATCTCAGGCAATGCTAAGCTGAGGAGAGCTGTGGACAGAATTCTACTGTGGGTTCAGAGCAGCCAAAGTGTAACAGCAGACCACAAGGCAGATCCCAGGACACCAGGTCTATGTTGAGAGTGGACATGAAATGAGTCCTTCACAAATACATCTCCAGTTGTTCAGAAGCCTATTCTAACTTCTTCTACAAATCCTAACTGAGAAGTCTCTCCTATCTACATCAATGAACTCACCCAAAGAATAGAAGAATAAGATAATAAAGCTCTACATATGGCCTAGGCAAGTACAATGGCTTTGGTTCCCTAGGTTTGCTTTGATAAAATGAATAAAATAGAAAGGTGAGGTACTCAAGGTAAATGCTTTGTATAATATAACTTGTCAGTGCATGGTATGTGCCAAACCATGAGAAAACAGGTGTTTTGAAATAATATCTAAATTTCAAGATAGCATGGTTAGCTTTTCACGTGACTGCTAAATCTCTTCCTTTCCTTTTTAAAATATATTTTATTGATTTTTTACAGAGAGGAAGGGAGAGAGCTAGAGAGCTAGAAACGTCGATAAGAGAGAAACATCGACCAGCTGCCTCTTGCACACCCCCTACTGGGAATGTGCCCACAACCAAGGTACATGCCCTTGACCGGAATCGAACCAGGGACCTTTCAGTCCACAGACCGACGCTCTACCACTGAGCCAAACCAGCTTTGGCTTATTGATTTTTTTTACTATCCATGGCTGGAGAGAGATACTTAGAAACATCGATCAGCTGCCTCCTGCGCCATCACTCCCCACGGGGGACATGCCCACAACCAAGGTACATATCCTTAATCAGAATCAAACTTGGGACCCTTCAGTTCTCAGGTCGATGCTCTATTCACTGAGCCAAACTGGTTAGGACTAAACCTTTTTTCTTTCTTCTTTTTTTTCTTTTTTTTTATTAAGGTATTATATGTGTACATATCTTACCATTGTCCCTGCCCACTTCCATACATGCCCTCACCCCCCAGTTTTGTGTCCATTCGTTATGCTTATATGCATTCATACAAGTCCTTTGGTTTAAACCTATTTCTTAAGGCAAGTGCTAGTATAGTGTTTGAAAATTTTCACCACTATGGCAATTACAGAATCCTCCTCAAACTTCAGTTTTATGAGAATAAGTATCTCATCACTTCACTTCAAGAGATACTTCATTAAAACTTCTACAGGAATCAAAGGATGGGTTCATTTTGTCTGATAATACATTAACTCAGAAATGTACATTTAACCTGCTGGGGGACAGACATCTACTCAGTAGGCACCCTGGACACCAGCGCTTTGTGTGTGCCTCAGGCTCTGCTGCATTGGCCCTTGAAAAAAGTACTTTGCCTGTTTCCAAACATTGGTCAGTCTAGTTGGGGAAGCTGCCAAAATAGCCTAGAAATGTATGTTTATAGCAATTCAGCATTCTCTATCTGCCTGCACAGGAACCCAACCCAGAAGACTTTCCTCAAATCAGATCCTAAAGGCTTAAAAGAGAAAAAGGTATCATAGACATAGATCTTTACAGACTTTAAAGAGATAGCAGGACATCCATAGAATCTTCTACTTCTTTTCTTAAATTATTTTTTATTGATTTCAAAGAGGAAGGGAGAGGGAGAGAGAAATAGAAACATCAATGGTGAGAGAGAATCATTGACCAGCTGCCTCCTTGCACACCCCACACTGGGAATTGATCCCACAACCTGGGCATATGACCTATCCATGGCTGGACGCAGAATGCTTGCCTCATCGCTGTGGCAATGAAGCAAGCTTTCTATCAGGCCACTTATGCTGCCCACTTTCAGCAGCTGCCCCCACCCCCGGGACTGGGGGACTCCAGTGAGGACTGGTGGCCACCATCTTATGGTTATGGGCACCACCATCTTTGAGACAGAGTGACAGTTAATTTGCCTATTACCCTATATTAGATATGATTTCCTTCCTTCTACTTTCTCAAGTTGAATTTGTCTCCCTTATATAGCTTCTTAAGGCAGAAAATCAGATAATTAAATTTTTTCTGTCCTAATATAAACATTGTAAGCTTTAAATTTCCTGCTAAGCATTTTCCCATAGCCTATGAATTTCAATACACTATATTTCAATACCTACCAATAGTCTACAAATTTCGATATACTATTTCAATACCCTACCTTTATTGAGATATAATTGACATAACACCTGTAAGTTAAGGTGTGCAATGTGATGGTTTGATGTACATATAGATTGTGAAATAACATAACAAGGTTAGTTAACAGATCCTTTGCCTTAAATAATTACCATTTTGTTGGTGGTGGTTGTTATGGTAATAATATTAAATCTCTACTATCTTGGCAACTTTCATATATATAATACATTCTTATTAATGATAGACAGCATGATGTATATTAGGTCCTTAAAATGTATTCACCTTATAACTGAGAGCTTGTACACTTTGACCAACATTTCTCTATTTCCCTCACCTTCCAGACCCTGGCAACCACCATTCCACTCTCTGTTCCTCTGAGTCCAGTGATTTTAGATTTCAGATATAAGTGAGATTTTGCTTTCTCTGTCAGACTTATTTCACTTAGCACAATGCCCTCAAGGTCCATCTGAGTTGTCTCAAATGGCAAGGTTTCCTTCCATTTTTAAGTCTGAATAATATATACCACATTTTCTTAACTCATTTATCTGTTGATAGACACTTTTGTTGTTTCCAATTTTTAGCTATTGCGAATAATGCTGCAATGAATATGAGGAAGTATAGATAGCAATTCAAAATAGTTATTTTATCTTATTCAGATATATGCCAAGAAGTTAAGTTGCTGAATCATATGATAGTTCTATTTTTAATATCCTCCATACATTTTACATTTCACTAATAGTGCACAAAGTTTTCACATCTTCATCAGCATTTGATATCTTTTGTCTTTTTTATAATAGTCATTCTGACAGGTATGAGATGATATCTTATTGTGGTTTTGATGTGCATTTCCTTGTATAGTGATGTTAAGAACCTTTTCATGTACTTGTCAGCCATTTGTATGTCTTCTTTGAAAAAAATGCCTATTCAAGTCCTTTGCCAATTTTTTAATCAGGTTGTTTGGTGTGTGCTTTTATTGTTATTCTACTTTGATTCTGTTATAAAGTTGTATGAGTTAATTACATATTTTGTATATAACCCCTTATCAAATATATAGTTTACAAATATTTTTTCCCAAACTCAGTAGTTGAGGCTTGTTGTTGCTAATTGTTATAACAGAACCTTAAATAGGGAAGTGGCACGATCAGACAGTGGTTCTATAAAGATTTGTTTGATATTTTTCTAATACTGATTTGTAAGGGAGAAGGCAAAGGTTTTGAGCCATTTGCACTCTAGCTACAATGAAAGATTTTGACTTGAGTGGGGTAGTGAGAATTGGCAAAAGTATAAAAGAGCTTTTGTAAAACATCAATTAGTGTCTTGATATGGTGGTTGATAAAAAAGGAAGAATCAAGGATGCTTTTAGTGTGTGAGTGTGTTGTAATATAATACAATCATTAACAAAAATAAAGAAGTTGAGAAAGGAAGTTGGATTGAGTTTGAGTAAAATGGTAAGTAAATGCGGTTTGGAACTTAATGCAACTGGATTGACATCATGTCACCTAGTTGGAAAACACCGGCCAATTATTAAAAATAAATAATTAAAATTCAGATTAAAGGATAGGATTAGAAATAAACTTGTGATAAATAAAAGAGAATGTAGCCTGAAAGTGAGGGATGGAAAAAATATTCCATGCAAATGGAAACAACAAAAAGGCTGGGGTAGCAATATTCATATCTGACAAAATAGACTTCCAAACAAATGCCATAACAAGAGAGAAAAGAAGATCACTACATAATATAAAAGAGATTAATCCAATATAACCCTAGTAAACATATATGCACCTAACATATATATATATATATATATATATGAAATAAACTCTTAAGAACTTTAAGGGCGAACAGACAGCAGTACAGTCATATTAGAGTACTTTAATATTCCACTTCTATCACTGGATAGGTCTCCAAACAAAAATATCAATAAGAACAGTGGCCTTGAACAACACACTAGATCATATGGATTTAATTGATATTTACAGAACATTCCAAAATAGGAGAATATACATTATTTTCAAGTGTACATGGAACATTCTCAAAGATAGGCCACATGTTAGGACATAAAACAAGTCTATAACAAATTCAAGAAGATTGGTATAATACCACGCATCTTCTTAGATCACAATGACATGAAACTATAAACCAACTACAATAAAAACATCCCCAAACATTCAAACACATGGAAGCTAAATAGAATGTTATTAAACAATGAATGGGTTACCAGTGAGATCAAGGAAAAAATAAAAAATTACCCAGTAACAAATGAAAATGAACACCCAACAACCCAAAATCTATGGGGCAGAGCAAAAGTAGTCCTGAGAGGTAAGTTCATAGCATTATAGGCTTACCTCAAGAAGCAAGAAAAAAATCTCAAATAAACAATCTAACTCTACACTTAAAAGAACTACAAAACAAACAAACAAAGCCCAAAGTAAGTAGAAGGAAGGAAATAATAAAGATCTGAGTGGAATAGATGCAGAAATAGCATTCAATAAATCCAGTGCCCATCAATATAATAAAGAGCCAACATGGTAATCTCCATTAGTGCTGGGTGGCTGTGGTGACCCAGCACTGACCTGCCTACGGGGGTGTGGATCAGATCCAGAAAGAGGCCTGCAGAGAAAGAGGCAGAATCTGATCCATAGCCTCTGTGGCAGTCATTGATCAGAACTTAGCTTTCTTTCTCTCCTGGCCTGGCCTACAGCCCACCTCCATTTCTCTTCAGGCCTCTACCCAGGCTGCTGATCAGCCCCACTTTCTGATCAGGCCCCATTGATAGGCCCAGAGACACTGACTTGGCAAAGAAAATGACCAATCAGAACCAAATTGGCTGGCAGAGGAGGGCAGTTGGGAGCGAGATTAGTCCGGCAAGGGGAGGGCAATTAGGGTGATCAGGCAGGCAGAAGCAGTTAGGGGTGATCAGGCCGGCAGAGGAGGGCAGTTGGGGGAGAGATCAGGATGTCAGGGGAGGGCAGTTGAGGGCTAGATCAGGCCAGCAAGGAAGGGCAGTTAGGAATGATCAGGCAGGCAGAGGCAGTTGGGGTGAGATCAGGCCAACAGAAGAGAGCAGTTGGGGGCTCAATCAGACTGTCAGAGAGGGTAGTTAGGGGTGATGAGGCAGGCAGAGGCAGTTAGGGTTAATCAGGCAGGCAGAGGTAGTTAGGGGAGATGAGGCAGGCAGGCAGAGAGGTTAGGGGCAATCAGGGAGGCAGGCAGGTGAGTGGTTATGAGCCAGTGGTCCCAAATTATAAGAAGGGTGTCTGACTACTGAGGGGTCCCTGATTGGAGTGGGTGCAGGCTGGGCTGAGGGAACCCCCCTCAGTGCATGAATTTCATGTACCAGGCCTCTAATTTATGATAAAGCTCTCAGCAAAGTGGGAATATGGGGATCATCTCTCAACATAATAAAGGCTAAATATGGCAAACCTACAGCCAACATCATACATAGTGGGCAAAAACTAAAAGCATTTCCCTTAAGATAAGGAACAAGACAGGAATGTTCATTTTCACCACTCTTATTCAACAGAGTACTAGAAGTCCTAACTAAAGCAATCAGACAAGAAGAAAAAAATAAAGGCTATTCAAATTGGAAAGGAGAAATAAAACTGTCATTATTTGCAGATGGCATGATATTATACATAGAAAACCCTAAAGACTCCACCAAAAAACTGCTAGACTTAATAAGTGAATTTGGCAAAGTAACATACACAAAATTAATATCCAAAAATCAGTGGCATTTTTATGCACCAATAATAACTATCAGAAAAATTATTTTTTAAAAATCCCATTTACTATTACAATAATAAAAATAAGGTACTAGAAATAAACTTAACCAAGGAGATAAAGATCTGTATTTGAAAAACTATGGGACATTGGAGAAAGAAATAGAGGAAGATACAAACATGTAGAAGCTTATACTGTGTTTATGGGTTGGAAGAATTGATAGAATTAACATCATTAAAATGCCTAAATTATCCAAAGAAAACTATAGTTTTGATGTAATTCCTATTAAAATACCAATGGCATATTTCAAAGATCTAAAACAAATATACCAAAAATTTATATAAAACCAAAAATACCTTGAGTAGCCCCAGCAATCAAGAAAGAAGACAAAGTTGGAAGGATCATAATACTGGATATCAAGCTATATTACAAAGCCATTGTAATCAAAACAGCCTGTTTCTGTCACAAGAACAGGCATATAGATCAATGGAACAGAACAGATGGCCCAGAAATCAACCCAAGACTTTATGGTCAATTAATATTTGACAAAGGAGGCAACGGAGCATACAACGGAGTAAAAACAGTCTCTTCAATAAATGGTGTTGGAAAAATTATATGGTTACATACAAAGAAATGAAACAAAGCCACCAACTTACACCATACACAAGAATAAACTCAAAGTAGATAAAAGACTTAAATATAAGTCACAAAATAATAAAAAAATTTTGAAGAAAACAGTCAATAAAATAACAAACTTTTTGAGTAGCAATATTTTTGCCAATATATGTCCCAGAGCAAAGGAAACAAAGGGAAAAAAGCTCCTGCTCAGCAAAACAACCCACTGTATGGAACAACATTTTTGCCAAGAATACATCTGATAAGGGACTATTTACATAATACATAAAAACTTATACATGCCGCCGAAACCGGTTTGGCTCAGTGGTAGAGCGTCGGTCTGTGGACTGAAAGGTCCCAGGTTCGATTCTGGTCAAGGGCATGTACGTTGGTTGCGGGCACATCCCTGGTAAGGGGTGTGCAAGAGGCAGCTGGTCGATGTTTCTCTCTCATCGACGTTTCTAGCTCTCTATCTCTCTCCCTTCCTTTCTGTAAAAAAATCAATAAAATATATTTTTTTAAAAACAACTTATACATGCCGAAACCGGTTTGGCTCAGTGGATAGAGCTTCAGTCTGCAGACTGAAAGGTCCCAGGTTTGATTCTGGTCAAGGGACTGTACCTTGGTTGCAGGCACATCCCCAGTAGGGAGTGTGTAAGAAGCAGCTGATCGATGATTCTCTTTTATCTATGTTTCTAACTCTATATCCCTCTCTCTTCCTCTCTGTAAAAAATCAAGAAAATATATATTTTTAAAAAGCTTATACAACTCAACACCAGAAAGACAAAAAGTCCAATTTTAAAATGCGCAAAGCCTTGGCTGGTTTTGGTCAGTGGTTAGAACATTAGCCCATGAACCAAAAGGTCCCTGGTTCAATTCCCAGTCAAGGGCATGTACCTTGATCCCGTTTGATCCTCAGCCCTCTGGTTGGGGCATGTGCAGGAGGCAACTGTCAGTGTGTCTCTCTCATCTCCATCTCTCTCTCTTCAGGTAGATTTCTTTACTTAAAATTTTCACTTAGACATAATTGCAAAAGTGTGACAAGGGAAGTACAAATAATTTCCAGATACCCCCCACTCGTAATCCCTATTTGGTAAGAGTTTACTACATTTTCTTTCCACTGTATTTCAAGGAAAGTCAGATACAGAGAAAGGGTGAGTCTGTGTGGTATCTTGCTTTCCAAATTCTCCTAAAAATGTTCCCCTGTATCAGAACCCCTCTGGCAGGAACCTTCCTATCACAAAGGCCATAGCTTCCTTCCCCTCCTTGCCCCACCCTCTCCCTTTGCCAAGAGCACAGAGGGGGAAGAAGTGTGTGCTTGGGGATGCTGCCAAGACAGACTGTGAAGAAGGAAGTCGCCTGAACAGAAGGAGTGTATTCTAAGGAGAAAGGGCTCTGCCCACCACACCACGCATAAGACCACCAGGAATTTCCGCACTCCAAACCAATCCAACTTTTCAGGGAGAGCAGGTAAGTCTATGTCCCCTCTGCGCAGATTGTTGGCTCTTCTCCAGTGCCAAGACCTTCAGGGACATCTGTCCTATCTGTCAGCGCCTGACATAGTCTTTGAAAGACTGAGGTTTCTGACAGCTGAAGTCAGGATGGCCGAGACTACTAACTAAGGCGCTAGGGAGCAAGAACCATTGTCAAGGCTTAAGGTTTTCAAACTCCAGAAAAGGATTTAGTTCATTAGACAGAATTTAGGAGGCCACAAATGGGAACAGGGCTGAGGCCCAGAGCTGAGAAATGGATGAAGGAGAGTGTGCCAAGTTCAAAGGCTCCCAACCAGCACAAGATCCTATTCACATTTGGGCCTGTGCTGGGTCTCCTCCTTGTACTTGTCAATGGCATGCCTGCCTTCAAGCCCCCCTCCTAAGGGTGCTCTGAGAGAGGCACTGGCATAAGTCCGAATGAAGAGAAGTCTTGTTCCCAGACACTGATGGGGGTACTGTGCTCTAATCCCCGCAGGCCTCCTCATCTCATCATCATGAATTGGTGGTACATGACCATCTCTGGGCTTATCGTAGTGGTGCTTAAAATTGTCGGAATGACCTTATTTCTGCTTTATTGTGAGTATTTGAGCAATCTCTTATCCCAACTCCATGTTGTCTTATTCTTGGATCTTTTCTCAGAATGCATGGTTAAATGTATAGGTTAAGTGTTTCCACCTGAGAGCAACTGACAATACCCCTTCTCACTTCCCATAACGCACAAAGGGCCAGGTTCCTTGCTCCACCTTGGAGATCTAGAATGGACTCAGTACCCCACACATAGCTTTCATCGTATATCATTAGTTGGGTAATCTGAGCTGAATTACTCGGCAGTGCTTGCTATTGTTGCTAAAATCTAAAAATTCAGCTGCAGTTCATCCTATTGTTAGAGCTGTAAGATAATGTTTTTTTTCCCCCGAAGGAAGGAATATCCTCCTATGTACACAGAAATGAATTCATCTAAATGCTCAAGAAATTGTACTGCAATTATAGCAAGTAGAATCTTCTCCAGCCCCAGAAGCCAGTAGGGAAAATAAATGAGGAAGGAAATGTAGTTTAGGAGGCAGTGGTTGGGTAAGAAGTGTCTTCCTTATGACCCAATCCAAAGGTACAATTTGTATCACATCAAAGAGCAGGAAGACAATACAAATATAAATAAGTGAACATATTCATACAAAAACATATACGTACATCTTTGTGGGCCAGAGTCAGACAGTTCTATATTTTCTATTAATAGTCACAGTGGCTCTAACCGGTTTGGCTCAGTGGATAGAGCATCGGCCTGTGGACTGAAGGGTCCCAGGTTCGATTACAGTCAAGGGCATGTACCTTAGTTGCAGGCACATCCCCAAGTGCATAGGAGGCATCTGATTGATGTTTCTCTCTCATTGATGTTTCTAACTCTATCCTACTCCCTTCCTCTGTAAAAAAATAATAAAATATATATTTTTTAAATAGTCACAGTGACCTAGCAGCCCCTGTGGGAGTGTTTGTTTGTTATATTCATCCTGCAGTTGGGGCTGAGCCAATAACTGATTTTCTTTGCAGTCCCACAGATTTTTGGCAAAAATGATGACAGCTTCAGTCCCACAGGAAGCTATGGAACAGGTAACGTGCATGACAATAATCTCTTCTCCATCATGTTCTAATGTGCTCAATTCTCTTTAGAAACCTTTCTCAGGGACTTTTCCCGAGAAGTTATTTGGCAGGAAATGTGCATAAATATCTGCTAAGTTATTATATATATATATATATATATTCTATATATATATATATAGAATATATATATTCTATATATATATATAGAATATATATATTCTAGGATGTATATATATATTCTATATATATATTCTATATATATATAGAATATATATATATATTCTAGGATGTACATCCAATGTATAACATAATGACTACTGCATTCTATACTTGTCAGTTGCTTAAAAAAATAGGTCTTAGAAGTGTTCTTATTGCACACAAAAAAATGGCAATTCTCTGAAGTAATGAAGGTATTAGCTAATCTTATTGTGGTAATAGGTTTTGCAGTATTTTTTTATTAAATCATCACACTGTACAACTTAAACTTACACAGTGTTATATATCAATTATATCTCATAAAGCTGAAAAAATAAAATAAGTTAAATGCAACACAATCAGCAAAAAATCTTCTATTTCGTCCCTTTCTTTTACAGTGGGAAACCAAGACTTTTATTTCTGAGATGTCTAGTCCTCAGTTTTCCTCCTAGGTCTGAGAAGGGGAATTAGTATGGAATCACTGTACATAATGTGAAAGTGTTTAATAAACTCTGACATGTTGTATACCTAAAGGAATTATTACAAAGAAGTCCATTCCCACAAACAAATTGTATTCCACATCTTTTTGGGTGCCAAGCACTACACTAGACCAACTAGAGAAGAATAAAAACAGGACATATTCATCAACTACAACACACAAGGCACGATGCCAGAGCTATAGAAGATAAAGAGATGGGTGAAGCATAGCTCTCCTTCCTCAACCCACCTCTCCCTCTCACTCCCTCTTAAGACACCTACTACTTTGTACATCTTTAAGAGAATGATTGCTTCTTATTTGCCCCAGATAAACAAGACACTCAGTACACTGAGTTAATTACATGGAGGAAATACTCATGAAATATTTATGGAATTCTGTTCAGTTACAATCCCCAAACCAGATTATTACATAACACACACACACACACACACACACACACACACACACACACACACGCACGCAAACAAAAAGCCTTTGAACTGGAGACTGAAATAAAAACTGAGTGCTGCCAAAACCGATTTGACTCAGTGGATAGAGTGTCAGCCTGTGGAATGAGAGGTCCCAGGTTCGATTCCGGTCAAGGGCATGTACCTTAGTTGCGGGCACACCCCCAGTGGGGGGTGTGCAAGAGGCAGCTGGTCGATGTTTCTCTCTCATCGATGTTTCTAACTCTCTATCCCTCTCCTCTCTCTTTCTCTCTGTAAAAAAAATCAATAAAATATATATATATTTTTAAAGTGAGTGCTAGCTTGTATGCCTTATTAATATAAGTGTAAGTAGCTGTCTGGGTCTATTAAAGAGGTCTTCGACCACAATGGACAAATAATTGGGCCATTGAAAATATATTTTACTGCCTCTGAAACCACTGCAGTTTCCTGCTCAAGTGGCCAAAGTTCCCAGGAAAAAATGAGGCCTCTTGGAGGCCTATAAATTCCCCTACTTATACTCAAATAAATATTTGCCTGCCTTTTTGTCTGCCCATAGTCTTGGCCCTGAAACTTGCTCCAGTTAGCCAGTCCTTAGCACTGATGAATTCTTATCAAAGAAGTCTCCAAAAGTTGCTGATCATGAGTTTTCATATAGGGTTTGAGGCTCCAGAACTGGAGAGAGCAGCAAAGACGCTGTGTAGAGCCTGGAGGGGAAGTGGTCCAAACAGTTCTTTGGATATAAGTGTAAAATTTAAACATGAAAAAGGAGCAGGAGGTTTCCTTCTGATGCTAAATCCATCCATTCTTCTTCCAGTCTCCTTTTCTTCCTCTCAGCATTTCACACCTACTATCACACACACATACACACACACACACACACACACACACTCACACACACTCACACATACACACACAAAAGGACATGAACTAGAACTTGGGGTGTGGGACATGACAAATAATGGTAGTAGTTTGATGGAAGGTTCTAAGAAAAAAAGTCGCTGAAAAATTCTAATGCAGAATGACCAAGAGCCCCTTGTCATCTCCACTGTCCAGAGACAAATAGTCACAGGGACTTGAAGCTGCTTTGAGTTTCTGTGTTATATTCATCACATGCCTACCTTAAAGTTTTTTTTTTCCTTATAGTCCCACCAATTTTCAGGAATGGTAATGACAGTTTCAGTCCCACAGAGAGCTATGGAACAGGTAAAGAGCATCAATATAACTTCCTCTCCACCCCCAGGTTCTTATTAGTAATTTCAGGGGGAGGGAGAGAGAGAGAGAGAGAGAGAGAGAGAGAGAGAGAGAGAGAGAGAGAGAGAGAGAGAGAGATCTGGAAAACTAGTTCTGTTTCCAGAGAAGGCCCCTCTGAGGGAAGAAGTTTAGGAGTGAAGCATGTGCCATATTAGCTGGGTTAGTTGAATGCTGCTTCGTCTGCATGTTGCAGTGATAGCTTTGCTAGATTCTCTGCAATTGGCACTTATTTCCCCGCTTGTTCCTTGGATGTAGTTACCACTTTGATCAGTGCTTTGGGGAGGGGGTTGGAGCAGGGGAGTTCTTTTCACCAATCTCTCTCCCAGGGGATGCTTTCATCCCCTCCTTTTATGGCCCCTGTGTTGCCATGTAGGCATGATGAATGTTCCAGATGTGGGCTGTCAGGGGCAATGATATTCTAAATGCAGAGTGATTGGAATGAATGTTATATTCTCAACTAGAAGGTGTCTGGCAGAGTAGGAGGTAAGCTTTCCAGGTGGCAGGGCAGAGACACCAGGTTTGCCCTTAGAGAAGTACGAGTGGCTGAAATCTGAATTTTCTTCTTTTCCTAAATTTTGTATGGGCTTTGTAATCTTTCCCTAAAAATCAACTTAAACACATCAATTAATGGTGTGTTAAAACTATTCCCCTCCCCTTTTCGTAGGAATGATGGCATATTTTCACCTTGTTCCACAGTTCAAGGCTAAATATTTGAACACTCTTTGCTACAAGTGATTTACAGTATCGTGTGCTTATTTTGAGTGTTATCAGTGGGAATACCCGCATGTGTACGCGTATTGTAAGAATGCAATGGGAAGATGTCATCAAACAGCAACAAGGTCCACAGGGATGTTCTACCTACTGACATCAAGCCTGTTGATTCCTAGCTGCCTTGGCACAGATCATGTGATGCTCATTTGTAAGGGCTGTTAGCATCCTCACAAACGTCAAGACTTTGAGAAGCTCTACCAGTTTCCTAAAGAAAGAGACCCCTTTTCAGAAGGGCAAAGTCTTGCTTTTTTTGTGTGTGTGTGTGTGGATGCTGGTGAATAATTCTCAAGATCTGGTAGATTTAATAACATTTATATTCTTATAACTTGTCTGCTTTTAACAGCATGGCCTCACTTGCCAATGAAAGTGAGATTTCTTGGGGAAGCCGGTTTGGCTCAGTGGATAGAGCGTTGGCCTGTGGACAGAAGGGTCCCAGGTTCGATTCTGGTCAAGGGCATGTACCTTGGTTGCGGGCACATCCTCAATAGGCGGTGTGCAAGAGGCAGCTGATCGATGACTCTCTCTCATCGATGTTTCTAATTCTCTGTCCCTCTCTCTTCCTTTCTGTAAAAAAATCAATAAAATATATTTTTTTTAAAAAGAAAAAAAAAAGAAAGTGAGATTTCTTGATAAATATTTTATTTAAAAGGCCTTGATTATGTAATCTGTGAGAGAAAGTGGAACAAATGATGCCTTTTTTGAAAATAAAATATAATAATAAAAAGAATTTTCCCATTGCCCCCTTTCTTATGAAGCATTTTTGCTCAAAGGGATCCATAAAGACCTAATTAATTATATTCATGCTATACATATGGATACTGAAATTACACTGAATTCTTCCTGAATTGAGGATGATTTGTTTGCATATAATTATTATAAAGAAACCCATGCCCCACTATATTATGACTTAGTTCCAGGGCTCTTACCTACAACCAATATGTCATGCTCTCTTCTGTTGGATTTCCTTAGTCTGCCCCAGCAGTTGGAATTTTCATCAAGGAAGATGCTTTTTTTTGTCTACCTCTGAAATGTCTTGGAACAAAAGCATGGACATGTGTAAAGAGCAAGAATCGACTTTGGCCATTGTCAACACGCCAGAGAAACTGGTGAGAGCATGAGAAAAATACAAGAATGCAGCTCACCTGACACCAGTCTTAGTGGGATTAGAGGTGGGACAATTTGACTGGTTGAGCTGGGGCGAGGTAGGGGATGAAGAGTTGGCTGTCTGGGAGCTCAAGCTCCTTGTTCTGAATCTGGAGCTGGGGTAGCAATGGGATATTCTCCTCAAGTCCATTTAAGCTAGTTAAATCCATAAGGCACAGTAGTAGACCATTTTCCTGGGGATGGGTCAGGACATTTAAAGTTCAGGGAATGACCTAATGAGCTGATGTGTATAAAAGTTGTTTAAGAACTATAGAATACTTCAAAGATGTATGCTATTAATGTATAACCCCAGTCTGCCTCATTAATAAGGAAGATGCCAATTAACAAAATGAGTAAAACACAAATAATCCTATATAATAAAAGGCTAATATGCAAATCCACTGAATGGTGGAATGACCAGTCACTATGACACATACTGACCACCAGGGGACAGATGCTTAATGCAGGAGCTGCCCCCTGGTGGTCAGTATGCTCCCACATGGGGAGTGCCACTCAGCCAGAAGTGGGGCTCACAACTGGAGAGCACAGTGGTGGTGGTGGCAGGAGCCTCTCCTACCTCTACAGCATTGCTAAGAATGTCCAACTGATGGCTTAGGCCTGCAGGCTCCTGGACTGTCAGAGGGCACAGGCTGGGTTGAGGAGCCATCCCACCCCCACCCCAGTGCACTAATTTCATGCACCAGGCCTCTAGTTAGGTCATAGACTTGGGATTGCTGTATACAATTATGATCATTAAAAAGCCAACACTATGAAAAAAAAGCTTTGTTTTAGTATCTTCTTTTATGCTCATAACAATTCTGAGGATGTATTATTAGCTGTAGTTTATGAGGAAATTAGGGCATATAAAAGTACTCTGGCCAAAGCCATACACCTACTAAAGGACAGCAGATGGCATTGAGATCTCTCTACCTCCAAAACCCACACTCTACTCAATTTAGACCCTAATATATTTTACTTTGTAGTTACCTCTTCACATCCTAAGCATTTGCTAAGTTTTAGACATTATGCTACATACAGTAATAGTGCTTCTTTCCTTCTATCCCTTCAACCTTCTTCTAAAAAGTCATCCTGTTATTGAGAAGAATTTGTAAGAGGGTTTTTTGTGAATCTGGGAGGTAAATGTCCAACCAAGAGTTAAGAACTCTCATGGTAAGGAAAAATACTTTAACATAGAGAACCAGGAGCAAGAGAATAGAGAGAAAAGAAAAAAAGATGAAGGGAATGGAACAGAAAGTCAATATTCTCATTGCCTCTACTAACCCTTATGCTTTGTGGCATCTCAAGTGTGATCCTTGGCATTCTCTACTACTTGGCATTCTCCAACATGCCAATCCCAGAAAAAGCTCATAACACTAGTGATTTGCTGATTATTCTCAAGTGTATCTCCATATCAGCCTTCTCGAGACCACACAGCATATATAAATATATATACATATATATTTAAAGTGCAGGGAATGCACTTTGATCTTTAAAAAGCATCACAGACTCACCATATCAAAGTGAGTCATTATATTTTACTCCAACTGCTCTTCCTCTTGAATTCCAAATGCTTGTAAGTAATTGTGTCACCCAAGAGCAAATGCTGACAATTTCTGAAACTTGATCTTTTTTATTCTCTCCTAAATTAGTTGCTAACCAAGTTCTTTCCTATATTTGGATAGCAATAATTCACCTATCATCTGGATTTCTTCAAAATTCTTCTAATGCCTGTCTTTATCCCTAGTTTTGACCTATCCCCCACAGAACTGATATACTGAAATAAGTAAACCTTTTAACTATCTGTGCTATTTGCCAAATTAAAATAGATTAAAGCCCAGCTTCCGTAGCATGACATATAGTACAGCCTCTGCCTTCTGCCAAGGTTTGTGTGCCAGCCCACTTCCCTTCTAGCTCTGCACTAGTCACATTGAACATCCTCTAGTTCCTCAAATGCTCCAGGTTGCTGTGCAGTCTGCTGTGATCTGATGCCCCCTCTTCCAAAAGGGACAAGTCCTGAAATCCATAAGGTACAGAAGTAGACTGTTATCCTTTTGCATATTAGCCTTTTATTATATAGGATAATTTGTGTTTAGACTGTCATGTTTTTGCCTGACAAATAGCTATCTCCTTAAATGAATTTCATATATCACTTCACCTATAGTCTTTCTGGAAAACCCCGAATTCATGTAAAATTGATCACTTCTTTCTGCCTGTGCCAGATCTAGCACACATTTTCTAGGATACCTCACAATACTAGTTGACTCATTATCTTCCCTTATTAGACCTGTGGATCTTCAACATATTGGCATGACTGAGGTTTTAAAAATGGTGGTGAAATCTATGCACCTCAACCCAGAAACATTACATAGGCACAGTATTTTGAATAAAGTCAGGAGTTCCCAGACTTCTGGCTGGGGTGATTTGTTGTTCATTAATTAACTATGATGTCTTAGATTAGCATCAAGTTATGAAATACTCAATAAACACTGATTATTTCTCATGGAATTATCTCCTTTAGCAATACACTTTTAATCTCCCTATTTTTCTCAAGGAATTCACTTGACCTCAAACACCTTATTCAGAGAATGAAATTTCTGGCAAGGAAAACAATTCTATGCAGATTTGAAATTGCCTTTTTTGAGATAGTATAGTACCCTGCCCTTCATTTTCCATAAGCTTGGAATACGTTAGAAATAAAAATCTTTAGAGCCCTACCATAAACCTATGAAGATCTACTGCACCAGGGCCCAACAGCTTGTATGAACAAGAGCTCCAAGTGGTCCCGACACTCTGTGTAGACTGAGAATTACTTCTCTAGGATTTATGTTGAGTGGCAGCCGCAGAGTCCTCCTTGTTCCCAGAATCAGATATGATCATGGGCCCACTAACCCCAGGAAGCAAGAACAAAGAACCTTCTATTGAACTGTTTGCTTGTTTTTTAATTTCTAGATGTTCCTCCAGAAGATAGCTGGACCTGAGAAGTATTTTATTGGCTTACTATACCAGCATGCAAAGAAAAATTGGCACTGGATCAACAACTCTGTTTTCAATGGCACGTATGTGAACAACCCACGTTTTTCTAGGGAACTTTGTCCACTTTAAAAGTCCAGATGTCAGATTCAGTGGACTTGTCCTGGAAGAGCACAAAGCTGAGACCTAGTTCTCTGTTCTATTTCTTTCCTTTCTTTCAACCCATCCATTCCCAGAGATACATTTTTTTGGTAATGTTTTTATTATGGAACATACCAAATATTTCTAAGTAGAGAGAAGAATATTCATACAAGAAATTATTTTGTTCAAATTAGGATCCAAACAAACTCACATATAATATATACCATTTGTTTGATCCAGCTCATTAAGTCTCTTTTAACCCACAGATCATATTTTATTATTAAGTTCTAACAGGTTTCCCAGATGTAGCTTTTTTATCCAGAGAAAAATAATCATAGGCAACTTGTCTCTGTCTTAAAGTTATAAACTTTAACTCCCAGGAGCTATCTCCTGTCTTTCATTCTTGGACATAGCATTGATGGAGAACATTGTCAGTGTACATCTGAAGATGCTGAGTCATATAGAAAGCAAGTCCATTCCCTGCCTATAACTGGGCTTCCCACAGAAGAGTGGAAATTAATATTCACTGTCGACTAAATTCCAGACACTTTACAAATGTCACTCCTGCACTATCCACAATAATGCTACAGAAAAAAGCTTTTGTTAATTCCCATTTCACAGACAGCTGGATGGAGGATAAGTGACTTAGAAATGTGTTGAATGTCACCAAGCTGGGAATTGATGGAGCCACATTTTGATCCCACATATGCTTGACTTCATAACTCTTGACCTTTTCATGAAGCGCGACTCTTTCCAGTCAGACTAAAAGGGCCTGACTGACATAAAAAGAGGTGGGAGAAGGCCAATGAAGTATTTATTTCCTAAAGCCACCTGCTGCCTAGGAAAAGAAATATCTTCCTCCTCAGTCCTCCTGCTGTGCACATAGTACCATCAGTACTAAAACATTATTTCTAGGAGGAAATGGGACAAATGGCCCATGCAATGCTTCTGATCAAACACAGAGTGAGCCAGACCACGACTGTGAGTCCATAAACATTCACATGAGAGTTGATGGGACTAGAGATGGATTTGGGGATTAGAGGAGGACTGGCATTGGGAAAAGGCAAGGCTGAACTGATAGGCCTTAACCATGTTCTTTTCTCATTCAGGATTACCAATCAGCTTCAGGATTTCCACTGTGTGACCATAGGCCTAACAAACACATTTGATGCTGCGTCATGTAACACCCCATACCGCTGGATCTGTGAAAAGCGTGCCAAGTGATAGTGTTCTCTGTGGTCTCTAACAAGAACAACCAACATACTTATGAAGATAGTGGAAGAGAACATTACAATCAGGGCTGATTCAAGAAATAGAGAATATCAAATTACTGTGTCTGTCTTCTATGGGTTACGGGCTGAGCTCCCTAACCAATCCTCAGGACTAATGCACTGGTCCCTTTACAGATATACTTGCATGTACACAACTAAGGCAAACTCCCCATTCTGAGCCAGTAATTCCTTAAGATCCCATTTCCTGTGAGAGTTGCATCTGTGATTCTTTTTTATTTAAACAGGTCATGTAGTCAATGATCCATTTGTGCATCTGTAAACTAGAAGATGTCTGGCTGTTTGGGGGAATGAGCTTCTGCATTCCACAAAAGAGACTGAATACTAACCATCTCCAGGAAACACGATCAGTTTTGTGGAAGCAACTTGGGTGGTATAAAGATGGGTATTTTTCTGTAGATCTGAGCATTTCTCATTGGTCAACAGGGCAAAGCCTGTTGCCAGGGTCTACTGATCCTCAGAGCACATGGCCATACTACCAGAGAGAAACTGTAGACTGAGCATTGTGAACAATATTTAGAGAGTAGCAATGATGCAAGATGGATAAAGTATACTTCTGTGCCCTCATCTCTGTTTCCATGAGACCCCTCCACACACCCTTCATCCCTGCTCCTGGTCTGAACTGAGGTCAGACTCTGGGAAGGACTCTTGGAGTCGAGCTTGGAGCAGAGAGAGTGTTGTTCCAGGGAATGAGGAGGAGTCTTGGCAGGCCAGAAATCTGCTAGGAAACCCCTTTTGAGACAACCCAACAGCCAAGATGACCAAGCTGACTGAATCTCTGTTCTTCAATAAAGCTTTAAGAGAGACTCAAGCTAAAATGTTCTTGGTCTTGGCCTGAATCTCCATTTTAACAGATTCTAATTATCTGATCATATTTGTTGAGTATATTTTAACAAACTGGGGTAAGTCTCCTGGGCCCCAGTGATCACAACATGTTCCTTTTACAGTTTTGGAGTGACCCTGCCAGGTACAGCTTTGCACTGGTTGACATCACACTCACCCCAGACTAGTCCAGCTGATCAAGAATTAGAAAAAGGGGAGGGATGCTCAAGGAAGCATTGGGTGGAGGCAAGGAGTGAGCATATAGAAGAAAGGGCACATCAGGAACAAATGGAAGTCATGCAGAAGGAAATAAGAGTCCATTTGGCCCGATGGGAAGGAAGGCAAGAAAGAAGGTATCCTGTCTGTTCTCTGTACTCAACATATGCTACAGACCCTCCTCAGTGCATGGAAAAGAGAAAAGAGATACCTGTGGGTTTTCAGTAGCAAGAATTAAACTATGAGAGACTGTACAAAATAAATGGAAATTATAGTCACCAAAGTAAAATGCTTACCATTTATGTCTAATAATATAAATGTCATTAGATGGATGTCAAATTAAATTATTGTCAGTTTTATTTTTATTACATCACTGAGCTCTGCTCCTATGTTACTAAGCTTCATAGTGTTTGGCTAATTAGCATGCCACTCATGTATAATTTTTAAAAAATGAGATAATTAGAACTTGCTTGAAGGAGATTGCCAGAAACAATTTGTGTTTGGGGTAGAGAGGATGTTGGAATCATTAGTAGTCTCATGGTGTTCCCAAAGACCAGTGCTGCAGTTGAAGAGGGAGAAAAGGCTAGGTGTGTGGTAAAACACACACACACACACACACACACACACACACACACACACACACAGAATTCTAACCAAAGTTAAGCCTCAGAATTCAGACAACAGAGAGAAAACCACAACCATCTATTTTGAGAAGGAAGAACTGTGGTTGCCACACTTCCTATGCGATGACAAGAGAGATTGCAAACTTTTAGAGTCCGGAAATGTTGACATCTAGTGATTTTCCTAGGAGACAGCTCAAATTTTCCCCAAGATAAGGAGGTGCTCTGCCCCAGTTCTAAAAATGGTCCTGTGAGCTGGGCTGGGGTGTGGGTGTGGAGTATATGGGAAATATGTGGACTATGGTTTTAATTTATTACTGGGGGCAGAGGTGATCAGATATTAGGATAGATAAATGCCACCTTATTGGGTAGCAGCAGTGTGATTTTCATTTTTTTATAATATATATTTGTAATCCTCACCTGAGGATATATTTGTTGATTTTTAAAGAAAGAGGAATGAACAAGAGAGAGAGAAAGAGAGAAAGAAAAGAAGAAGAAGAGGAGAAGAAGAAGAAGAAGAAGAAGAAGAAGAAGAAGAAGAAGAAGAAGAAGAAGAAGAAGAAGAAGAAAAACATTGATTGGTTGCCTCTCATATGCTCCTCTACTGGGGTTGAACCCACAACATAGGTATCTGCTCTGACTTGCAATCGAATCCACAACCTTTTTGGTATACAAGACAATACTCCAACTAACTGACTACCCAGCTGGGCTGTGGTAGAGCTTTAAAAAAAAAACCAACAACCCACAAACAATGAAAATCTAATAAGCCACTGGGTTAGAGTTTTGACTCTGCTTCCAATATGGTATGGGAATCTATATAGAATTCTTATGCTTTCTGAGTCTTAATTTCCTTATGTATAAAATGAGGCAGTAATATCTCTCTCACAAAATTCTTGAATATAATAAATAAGATCCCCACTATGTGTCTCAATGGTGATAAACAATAGGGGAAGCCAATAGTGGAATATTTGCAGTTGAAACCTTTATCTTAGAATTGGCTCTTCAATTTGACTTTTCATTCTCTTTATAGTGTCCTTTGCTGCACAAAAGATTTTAATTTTGATGAAGTCCAATTTATCTATTTTTTCCTTTTGTTGCCTGTGCTTTTGGTTTCATATCCATTAAATTGCTGTCAAATTCAGTGTCAAGAAGCTGTTCCCTATGTTTTCTTTTAAGAGTTTTATAGTGACAGGTTTTATATCTAGATCTTTTATATATATTGAGTTAACCTTTGTATATGGTATGACAATCCAAATTCATTCTTTTGCATGTAGATATTCAGTTTCTCCAAGTGCCAGATTTTTAATCTCTTAAGATTGAAAAAATGTTCTATGCAATTTTTTCCTTCTTAAATCTAATTAAAAGGATATATCTAGATTACAGAAGCAACAGACTATAACAATGAAATAAAATTACTACATGTAATACTACCCTATCTTAGACAAACATAATTTTATAGCCCTGGATTAAAGTTAGGCATTGTGGTATATTATTGTTCACAAATTCATTGTCCCTCCCTGCAAGAGGACATTCCTTTCCCATCCTGCTAATAGCAGGCTTGGCCTTGTCACTTGCTTTGGTCAATGAAAGCTGACCACAATTTACCATACTTTACCCTGCCCCCACCCCAGTTGGAGGCTGTCCCATTAGCCTGGACTATAATGAGGACAGTGAGGAGCAGAGAGACAACTGACCCATAGTCAAATACTGGAAACAGAATAAACATTTGCTGTTGTGAGCTATTAAGATATTTGAGGTTGTTTATCATCATTTCTTGATGCAATAATGAATATCAAGTAGTTCACATAAAGATATACAATTAGCATTGCACAAGTTAAATAGATGAACTCTGATGCCAGACTACCTAGTTTTGGATCCTGGGCCCCTACATATTAATAATGTAACTTTGGGCAAGTTCCTCCTATCTATGTACCACAGCAATGTCTTCCTTAGCTTGCAACTCTTATGTTAAAAACTAAAAATATTTCCCAAGATATGTTGATTTAACAGGAAGCTCCATTTACCAAGTGTCTTCTGTTTAGAGAAATATGTGTATGTAAATAAACAGGCATTCCTGTATAATAGAAGAAATCTATAAATTAAAAAGGGTGAGAGGTTGAATTACTACATCCCTAAGACACAAAAGAAATGCAATTATTTTATTTTATAGGCAATACATATGATTACACAAATAATATAAAAACTTAAAAGGCATGCAGTGAACAGTTGTGCTCCCTTCCCCATTCTTTGTGCCCATCCCTCTACCACAATCCCACAGGCTACCACCTATTAGTATTTTATCATGCTGTTAACAAACAAATATAAATATAAATATGCAGCAGGTCCTGGGCATTTTGTTACAGGGTTGCCATAGGAACTTAACTCTCATTTATATCAATTCACTTAAGGCAAAAATGGCTTTATACTACATTATTTTGCCACTCAAGGAACTACCAACAATATTAAGTGAGGACTTATTGTACATTCATTTCTACTCTGTCCTTACACTAAAGGCTGAATACTGAAACTCAATGTACTTTGCTTTTCTCACTTATCAATATAATTTGGAGATCATTTCTAACCATTGAAAAGAAGAGCTTCTTTATTCTTTTCACAGCTAAATAGTATTTCATTGAACAGATAAACGTAATTTTTAAACCAGCTACTTATTGATATCCCATTCAATTACTAATATTATAAAAATGCTGCAGCAGATAAAACTGTGCTTATGACATAAGCAATGGAAACAGTGGCTGGAAACAGACTGGGGCAGATGAGGAGGAGGGCAAGGTTGGGAAATGCAGGAAATGAGGCATGAGGACAGCTCAATGAAGAGCTGGATAATAGCACTGGAAACTTGGGGGGTTGAGGGGCACAGGAAAAGGAGAACTAAAAAATACAATGGAAAATCAGAGCCACAAACAGAACCTACAATGAGGAATCAGGAGAGAACGTGGGCAGAAGAGGACAAACAAATGATGGGGACAGGAAGCAGAGGGTGGTGTCATGGACCATGAGAGGGCTGGAGAATGTGGGAAAGAAACTTCCTCTCAGCCTGGGAGACAGCTTGGTTTGTCACTTCAGCCCCACGCCACAGTTCTGTTGCCCCACCACCTTTGATCTGGGGTTTGTCAAGTGAGAGAATACCTCCTTACCTAGCTCTTCCTGAGAAAGTCCACAACTTAAGAGCTGTGTATGTATGTAAAGTCAAACCACCCTGGGATTGAATAGGTGCCCAGAATTGTGGAATGAGTTCCTTCTCTATAATATGCAGAGA